GGGTTGTTTCTTCTTGGGGCATTCTCGTATCCAATGGCCTTTTTCTTTACAATAGGCGCATTGATCTTTATCTAAGTGCCGCCTGGGAGGGCGTGTTGTTTGAGTGCCTTCTGGGGGTGGCTGTTCTTTCTGGACTATAGCGGCCAGGACTTTAGTCATTTTCTCTGTGGCCTTGATCTGTCTCTCTTCTGGGGCGTCCCTGTTGCTGTAGACCTGTTGTGCTATACGGAGCAGATCCTGGATCTGTTTACCTTCTAAATCCTCTAGCCTTTGGAGTTTTTGTTTTGTTTTGTTTTGTTTTGTTTTGTTTATGTCAGGAGCTGCTTGATTTGCAAAGGACATAACGACAGCAGCCTGGTTCTCAGGGATTTCTGGATTCATGGGGGTAAACTGTCTAAAGGCTTCCATTAGTCTCTCTAAGTAAGCAGCTGGACTCTCTGTCTTTCCCTGTACGACCGAATATACCTTAGCCAAATTGGTGGGCTTGCGAGCAAGAGCCTGGAGACCCGCCATCAGAGTCTGGCGATAAATGAGTAGCCTTCCCCTACCTTCTGCCGTGTTGTAGTCCCATTCATCCTGTGGAGGTCTGGTTAGGGGGAAAGGCGCATTAATGAGGTCAGGGTTAGATGTCGGCTGACCGTCGTCTCCGGGAACCAGCTTTCTTGCTTCTAATTGGATCCTCTCTCACTCCTCTGTAGTGAACAGGATGCGGAGGAGCTGCTGACAGTCGTCCCAGGTGGGCTGGTGGGTGAACATGACACTGTCTAAAAGAGCTATTAGGTCTTTAGGGTTATCAGAGAATCGAGTGTTCTGTGTTTTCCAGTTGTACAGGTCACTGGTGGAAAAGGGCCAATACTGGAGTCGGGGGTTGCCTGTTTCATCTGGGGGTCCTATTTCCCGCAGGGGTAGGGCCACAGTGGAGCCGGGGAGGCGAGGGTTTGGCTCACGCTGGGTGCGCCCGCGGGTTCGGCCGGCTGGCCCCTTGTGGTTGGTTTCGTTTTCAATGGGGCCCGGCGCGGCTGCTGCCTTCCATCCTCCTGGTTCCGGCGCAGCTGCCGCTTCCCGTCCTCCCGGTTCCCCTAAGGGGGGCAACTAGCGGGGCGACTGGCGGGGCGGCTGCTGTGGGCAGGGCCCGGGGTACGAGGGGACGGGGATGATAGGATGGAGGGTCTAGGGATAGTAGGTCCTGACTATCGGTCAATATGGGATACAAGGGTGCGGATGGCGTCTTTGGCTTTGGGGGGTCTGCGGGCCTCATGGCAAGGGCCTTACATGCTCCTGATGACAGGAAGGGGGCCAACCAAGGGGGTGGATTTCCTACCAAATCTTGCCATACTAGAATGTAGGGAATCTGATCCGGGTGCCCCTCGCGACCCGGTAGAAAAATCTTTGACTTCACCTTAGCGATTATAGGGAGGCAAAAAGTTCCTTCGTGTGGCCATCCAACGCTGAAGGTTGGCCATTCGGAGCGGCAGAGGGTTATTAATTTTCCCCTCTGGATGTCTAGACTCAAATTCTGTCCTCTGGTTCTAACATCCCTGAAGTTAGCAACAAGGAGAGAAAGAGGAGTGCTTTGAGATTGGCCCATCTGTATCCTGGAGGTGGAGAAAAGGATTGAAAGGAGAGATAGTAAAGTTAGGAGGATTCCCGGTTGTGCCAGGCCAGGTCACCTGTGAAAGAGAAGGGGGTCAACGCTTAAAGGTTACAGAATAAAGAACACAACACATAGATCACTAGCGCGTTTCGGGTGTCTGTCACCCGAACAGAAGAATTCCGACGGGCCCAAAAAGGTGCCCCAGACGGGTGCCAGTGGACGTCTCCTACTGGACCCGACTGACTGCCCTATAGCGTGTCCGCCAGGGCTGTGTCAGTCCCCGATACAGATCCCGTGCGGGAGAGAGCCAGAAACGAACAGGCAATATACAGACAGAAACGGACAGAGCCGGCTCACTTACCGATCGGTCTCAGGGACGACCCATTGACTTGGGGTCTGGTGGGGCTTGGGGGGGGGGGATCCCGGACGAGCCCCCAAGTGATATGCCCTGATTTGAGAGACCCCCGAAAACAAACCACCAGAGTCCAGAGTCAAAGCCAAGCGGCAAGGGTCGTTTATTGCAGGTTCGAACCCGGACCTCTGTGCACTCGTTGCCGGTGACGCTAAGAGGCCCCGAGCGAGGTTTTTACGGCACTTTTATAGACAGGCACAAACAGGTTATGGGGAAGTTAGGGATTTTTCGAGGTTACAGAGCTGTTATTGGTTGACATTTAAATTTGAACACTCAGCAGAACTTGATTGGTTCCCGCCTTTAGGTCAAACCACAACCGGGCACGCCCTGGCTGGTTCCAGGAATGGCGGAGAAGGGGGGGGGGGGTCTTTTCCTTGCGGTTGTGGGTACACCTGATAATTTTTCTTTAGTCTCTCAAGTAATGTATATAGGATGGGATCGGTGTTGGAGACAATGTTGGACTTGAAAAAATAAGTCAGACAATTCTGAGACATCTGAATAAATATTAACGGTTTCCAAGTTTTCAATCACTTTTTTAGAATAGGCTGAATCCTTTAAGATATTGATGGAGGAGGGAACATCCTTAAGTAATAAAAATATGGCCAAGAGTTCATCCTTTTGTAGTGAAGCATATGGGGATTTTACACATTTAGAAGTAGGACCATAATATGCAGAATAACTGGATTTGTTGGCATCTGTAAAATAATTAGGTCCATTTACAGGAACTGACTGTACAATTCGAGGCACGATAAAGGAGGTGGTTTTGATAAATTCAATTAATTTGGATTTAAGATAATGGTTGTCTATGTGACCTATATCATTTGCAACTCCAAGTTGCCATGAAATGCATTGCCGATATGCCATGGATATTTGTGCATGAGACAGAGGTACTATAATTGTCTCAGGGTCTTGGGTTGTTATTTCCTTAAGTCTGTCCCAACTCTTTAAAATTAACATTCCTGTTTTGTCTAAATATGTAGATAATTTTTTTAAGGCTTGTTGGAAAGAAATATCCGCTTTAAGATTCCATTAGCCTGCCAAAGTATTCCTGCAGGAGAATGAGGTAACAGTAAAATTAACAAGGAAACAGGTAGCAAGGAGTTAATTCAAGTAAGCTGATTGGAAGCAATTTTTTGTTCAATCCATTGTAATTTTTGGGGTGCTTCCGGAGTTAATTTCCTAGGGCTATTTAAATTGGAATTCCCTTTAAGTACATCAAAGAGATGAGTCAGTTGATAAGTAGGTATACCTAGAGTAGGACGCTACCAGTTAATGTCTCCTAGTAACTTCTGGAAATCATTCAAAGTATGCAAGGTATCTCTACGAATTTGAACATTTTGAGGCATTATTGAATTTTGTACTAATTTTTGACCTAAATAGAACAAGGGATCTTCAAATTGAACTTTGTCTTCTGCAATAAGGAGGCCATATTTTGAGAGGGTTGCCTGAGCTGCTAAAAAGAGTGCATGTAAATCATGTCGTTCGGGTAAAGCTAATAGGATTTCATCCATGTAATGGATGATCTTAGCATGAGGAAACTGAGATCGTAAATATCGGAGAGGTTTTGCAACAAAAAGCTGACAAAGACTGGGACTATTTAATATTCCTTGGGGTAAAACTTTCCGCTGAAATTTGTTTATGGGCTCCTCATGATTAATTACAGGAACAGAGAACGCAAATCTCTCCGAATCTTTAGGGCTTAAGGGAATGGAGAAAAAACAATCCTTAAGATCAACAATTATAATTTTCCAATCTCGAGGGATAGCAGCAGGCGTCGGAAGGCCAGGCTCTAGAGCCCTCATAGGTTGTATGATTTTATTTATGGCTCGGAGATCAGTCAGCATTCTCCATTTTCCAGATTTCTTTTCTATGACAAAAACCGGAGAATTCCAGGGACTAGTTGAAGGTTCAATATGCCTCGCTTCTAATTGTTGAGAAGCTAAAGATTTTAAAGCTGCCAGTTTTTCTTGAGAAAGCGGCCGCTGCTCTATCCATATGGGCTCATCAATAAACCATTTTAAAGACAGCGCATATTTTTGTTCTCTGGCAGGGGCCGCTAGGATACATTTGGATATCCTAGCCTTGTGGCTTTGTGTTTGGGGAAAAATATCGAGGGGTGTCTTATTGCCTTGTTGAGTTTTATCTAATTCCTTCAGTGGGTCATATCCCATGGCACACATTATATTTTTATTTTGAGTAGATATAGATGGGATATTAATATATGCACCCCACTGTTGAAGTAAATCTCTACCCCACAGATTAATGGCAATGTTAGCCACATAGGGTTTAAGAGTTGTTATCTGATCCTCGGGTCCTTCACATCTCATAATCTGTTGACTTCTTTTTATTCCCCCTAAGGAGCCAAGTCCTGTAAAAATTACAGGTATGTTCTCAACAGGCCAAAATGAAGGCCAAAACTTTTCAGATATGATGGTAACGTCAGCTCCAGTGTCTAGTAATCCTATAAAAGATTTATTATTAATTTTAAGATGTATTTTGGGGCGAAGATCTTTCAAAAAAGTTTGCCAATATAGTTGTTTCCCAGTACTGCCAAAACCTCCAGTTCTGATAACAGGATTGCTTTGGCCCTCTATATAAGG